GTGTGTGTGTGTGTGTGTTTTTCATATAATTGGTCCGTTAGTTATTTCAGTTAGTTAATTAGTTAGCAATTCACTCAGAAAGTCATTTATTTAATCATTAATGAGTCAGTTAGTCAATAAGTCAGTCAGTCACTCAGTCAGTCAGTCACTCAGTCAGTCAGGCAATTACAAAAGTCTAACGAACACAGCTTTAGGAAACGAAAACTTCAGTACTTGGGTTCGAATCTCCCAAAGTTTGAACGCTAAATCTTTTCCTTCTAATCTGGAGATAAGAGAACGCAATTATACTCTCTGCACTGTAAGCACCTTGTCACCGCCATCTTAAGTGCTCTGTCGTAACAATTTAATACTAACACATCCAGGTAAAGGGAAATATTTAACTTAGGAGCCTTTGAGATCCTAACTTTGTGTCGTAACTTAAGTGAGACAGTTAAATGCGGTCTAGAATCTTTAGGGTGAAGGAAGAAAGAGGGTTTAACTTACGAACTTTTCAGAAATTTAACTTTGGTGTCGTAACTTAAAGTCAACCAACTGGATACATTCTCACATTTCCAGTTAAAACAAAAAGAATTCTTGACGTGGTAACATTTGAGAGTGTAAAGTGTGTCGTAAGTGTGTCATAAGTGTGTCGTAAGTGTGTCATAAGTGTGTCGTAAGTGTGTCATAAGTGAAATGTGGGATGGATTATTACCTACGATTTTTTGAGAATATATCTGATTTTTTTTTCAACTTTAGTGAATCAGTAAGATACTTTATTAAATGTCTAATTATATTACCCCCAAAATTTTCTTGCTAATGTTTTAAAATCTATCTTAGTGTCGTAGCTTAAGTGAACTAAGTAGATACTTTGTCTTTTATCCAGTTAGAAAGATAATTTACCTTACGACTCTTTGAAAATTATTTTGACTTGAGTTATGTCGGCCTCTTAGATGCGTTCTCACACCTCACATTTACGAGAGAAAATAATTGACTCAGAACCTTTGAGCCGCCGTTGGTCAGGTCACGACCTCTCGAGTGATGACTCTTGTTCAGTAGATTGTCACAGTTTCACCGATCAATTAATTTAATATAATAATTACCTGAGACAGAGGCCCTGATACCCGCTCCTGTACCGTCAGGAGAGGGGCCCTGATACCCGCTCCTGTACCGTCAGGAGGGAGGCCCTGACACCCGCTCCTGTGCCGTCAGGAAGGAGGCCCTGCACCACATTATCAAGGATCAGGGTGACGGTGACGAACTGTGTGTAAGTTTGTATCTTGATGGAGATTGTCGCCTTCGGGTCCAGGTTCTTGAGAGCTCGTACGGTGATTATTTCTCCTATGTGAAGATGTTAAAATACATCTGACCAGTTAGACAAAATTAACACTGAGACAAAATTAACACTGAGACTCTACCTTAACTAGATACGTTCACTTAGCACCAGTTAGAAGACAAAATTAACACTGAGACTCTACCTTAACTAGATACGTTCACTTAGCACCAGTTAGGAGACAAAATTAACACTGAGACTCTACCTTAACTAGATACGTTCACTTAGCACCAGTTAGGAGACAAAATTACACTGAGGCTCTACCTTAACTAGATACGTTCACTTAGCACCAGTTAGAAGGCAAAATTATCACTGAGACTCTCCCTTAACTAGATACGTTCACTTAGCACCAGTTAGGAGACAAAATTAACACTGAGACTCTACCTTAACTAGATACGTTCACTTACTGTAGCACCAGTTAGGAGACAAAATTTTGTTCTTGGTGTTAAGTGAACGTATATAGTTAAGGTAGCGTCCCAGTGTAATTTTGTCTTCTAACTGGTGCTAAGTGAACGTATCTAATTAGACTCTGAGTGATATATTGACGCCATCTTGGACATTGTGTTTGTTCTGTAAGCTTAAGTCAGCCACTTAGGAAACTTTCTTACAGCTTCACTTAAGGACCTTTGGGATTCTGAGCCATGAGTTTAAGTTTTCTTTTCTTAAGTCTGGGGGAAGTGATGGATGCTGGTGTAGGGTGGTGGTGGTGGTGGTGACGGTGGTGGAGAGGGTGGTAACGGTGGTGGTGATGGTGGTAACGGTGATGGAGAGAGTGGTAACGGTGGTGGAGAGGGTGGTAACGGTGGTGGTGATGGTGGTAACGGTGGTGGAGAGAGTGGTAACGGTGGTGGTGATGATGGTGGTGGTGGTGGTGGTGGTGATGATGTAGGGTGGTGAAGGTAAAGATGGTGGTTTTTGGTGGTGGTGGAAAGGTATGATGATGATGGTGATGTGAAAGGTGATGGTGGTGATGTAGGGTGGTGGTATTGGAGAGGGTGGTGGTGGAGATGGTAATGATGGTGATATAGGGCGGTGGAGAGAGAGAGAGAGAGAGAGAGAGAGAGAGAGAGTAGGCAGGGGATCAGTGTGTCTAAAGTTTGGTGAGAGGAAAGTGATCGTGAGGACGTTAGTGAGGTAAAGGAGAGAGAGAGAGAGAGAGAGAGAGAGAGAGAGAGAGAGAGAGAGAGAGAGAGGAAGCAATACAATGGGGAATAGAAGAGGAATGGATAAAAGAGGGAGGGGGAAAATAAGAGGTGAGAGTATAAAGTGGTAGCAAAGGGAGAAGAAAGAGGGAGTGAGGGAGAGGAGTAAGTGGTAGAGGGAGAGGAGGGAGAAGAGAGGAGGGAGAGTCAGGAAAGCCGTGGCCTCTAGGGAGTCTGGCGTCAGGATTTGGGGCCCAGCGGAAAGTGTGGTGTTCCTTAGGGGGGGTATTAGTACCACCTCTCTCTCTCTCTCTCTCTCTCTCTCTCTCTCTCTCTCTCTCTCTCTCTCTCTCTCTCGTTCTTTATCACGCCTCTACTTATCTTCCCCCTCCTCCTTATCTCCTTGTGGCTCCTACCGTGTTTTATCTCCTTTTATCATATTTTCCTTTTCCTCCCCTACGTACTCTCCTCGCCATCGCCTTGAGAGAGAGAGAGAGAGAGAGAGAGAGGACTAATATGTCTAACTAAAGAAATATAATTATTTTTTCCTTCTCCTTCCTTCCTTACCTAATTCCTTCTCTTTCTTTCCCCCAAGCCCCTCCTCCCTCCCTCTCACCTTACCTACCCTCTCCCTCCCTCTCACCTACCCCTCTCCCTCCCTCTCACCTTACCTACCCTCTCCCTCCCTCTCACCTTACCTACCCTCTCCCTCCCTCTCACCTTACTTCCCCTCTCCCTCCCTCTCACCTTACTTCCCCTCTCCCAAGATCACAATACGCGATACTGCCACGGTGAAAGTGATTGACTTTAATTCAATATTTTCTGTTTTCCTTCCGTCCTCAGATGGAGGGAGGGAGGGAGGGAGGGAGGGAGGGAAACGGGATAGGAAAGAGGCGGGTGGTAGGAAAGGATGGGAGGGAAGGGCTAGGGGTAGGAAGGAGGGAGGCAGGGTAGAGTTAGAGAGAGAGAAATGGAGGTTGGGGGTAGGGAGGTTAGAAGGGAGGAACGTGAGGAGGGAGGGAGGGAGGGTGAGAGGGAGATGGATAGAAGTGAGGGATAAGGATAGGAGGGCGTTCAATTTTTTGTAATGGTAGTGTTAGAACTGTCACGAGCGTCAAATTCTTACGTGATCTCCACTAACCTACACTACCCGAGGCGCCCCTGGTCCACCCAACTGAGGAAGGGCACCTAACATTACCGATGAGAAGTGAAACCAATCGAGTGCAGTGCCATCGTAAGAGAAGGTAAAAAAAAAATGCCAATCTTAATTAACGGAATAAAAGGCCATTCTAAAAAAAAATTCACTGTGGGCGGGGCAGAAAATCCCAGTTGATTGAGAATGGGAATCAGAATGCGTGATAACAGGATCGGCTGCCAGGCGTACGATAAGCTGGCGGTAAGAGGCTTATTCCCGCCCTGGCGCTGCGCTGCTCCCGCCTCTGGCTTATGTATATATATGTGTGTGTGTGTGTGTGTGTGTGTGTAGCGATAGGACTCTAGTGGTGATGGGAGTGAGTGAAGGAGGAGAAGGAGGAAGTAGATAGGTAATGGTGGGGGAGGAAGGAAGGAGGGATAGACGGGTCAAATATTCAACCACCCTCAACAACCACCATTTAACCACCTAACAACTACACAACCACAATCACCACTCCACTCTACAACCACCACACCCTCCCCACACACACAACCTCCTTCAACCACACTACCACATCGGACAGCTATCCTTCAACCACATAACCACAAAACATTATCAGTCCAGCCTCCACCAACCACAGCCTGTAGACCGTGATTTATACAAAACATTGTGTATATTTTGGTGAACGTTGATGGCCGGGGGCGGGGTGAGCGTAGACCGTCCTGCCCACACTACAGCCTCAGGCCGTACTGGGGAAAAAATATTTCATAACAGATACGCGAAATAAAAACCATGATTTAAATTAATACTTTATAGGTCCTTTTTTTATTATTTTAGTCTGTCTCTATGTCTGTCTGTCTGTCTGTCTGTCTGTCTGTCTGTCTGTCTGTCCATCCATGTTCAGACCATTTCCCTTTCTCTTCCCCCTCATCTCATCCTCCTCCCTTCCTGACCCCTTACAGTCCCCTCCCATTTCATCCTCCCCTCTCACCCCTTTCTCCCTCTTACCCATCCCTCTCCTCCGTTTCTCCTCCTTCCCCCACTCCAATCTCCCCTTCCCCCGCCCATCAGAACGCCAACCAGAAGCCAGTCAGTAATCCCCTTAGACCATCAGATCACCCTGTACACGCCTTTAGGAAGGTAAACACGAGGATTCAGTCTCCTGTGGGTGGGTGGGTGGGTCGGTGGGTGGGTGGGTGGGTCGGTGGGTGATTAAGTGAGTGGTTGGGTGGGTAAGTACAGTAGGTGAATGGATAAGTTGTGGGTGGCTGTGGGTGGGTGGGTGTGGGTGTTCAGTTAAGAAGCAAGAAGGGATTAGGGGAAGGCTGTTCAGGGGTCGTCATATGTCGTCAAGGGGTCGTCATATATCGTCAAGGGGTCATCATGAGTCGTCAAAGGGTCGTCAAAAGTCGCCATGAGTCGTCAGGAGTCTCCGGGGTTGTCAGGAGTCGTCAAGAGGTCGTCAGGGGTCGTCGGGTGTCGCCAAGAGGTCGTCGTGGGTCGTCAGAAGTCACCAAGAGGTCGTCAGGAGTCGTCAGTTGTCGGGTGAGTCTCTAATCACCCCCAGAACGCCTGTCAGTCGGGGTACTCAAGAGCTTGGGGGAGATTAATGAAGGCTCTTGATTTACTCTCAAGCGGTGGCAAAGACAGACTGGGTTACGATGTCTTCACTGGCTTAGTCCTTACTGGTGGATGGTGTCATATGCTCCTGTCTTCTTCTAACCATTTCCTTTACCAGTCCTTAATTCCTTCTATATTCTCCCCCTCTTACTTCTCTCTTCCTCCTTCTCCTCCTCTTCGTTCTTCAACCAACAAGGGCCTCCCTGCAATGCCACCGACAGAGAGTGCCAGTGCCCGCGGTGCCCCAAGAGCCCCGTGGCACTGCCCAAACAAGCTGGCACTACGCTTTTGATACTTACCGCCTCTGTAGTGCCACTATCCCTTCATTAATTATTCCCTAATGAGTTAGAGAGAGAGAGAGAGAGAGAGAGAGAGAGAGAGAGAGATGAGGGTTGGGTGATGATGGGGGTGAAGATGAGTGGGAAACTGGGTGAGTGTGTGGGTGGATGAGGGTGAGTTAGTGGGTGAGCGTATATGTAGGGAAGAGGCTGGATGAGAGTGGATGAAGCTGGTAGGGGTGAGGGTGAGAGGGTGGATGAGAGTGCAGGATGAAACAAATGTGGGTGTGTGGAGTGATGGTGGGTGGCGGGTGGCGGAATTGATGGTTGAAATGGGTGGGTGGGTTGAATGGGCCGAGGCATGTGGGTGGAGGGAAGGGTGTGTGGGTGGAGGGAGTTTTGTGGATGTGGGTGGAGGTGTGTGGTCACCTGTCGAAGTCTGCACCATTATTTCTGACACCTTTAATAATAATAATAATAATAATAATAATAATAATAATAATAATAATAATAATAATAATAATAATAATAATAACAACAACAAAACAATAACATTTCTCATCCAATAAACTGCAAAACAAAAACAACAAATAAACAGATAAATAAACAAAAGAATGAACCATAAACTTCACCTCAGACAATAAATTAAAAGTCATTATTTACAAAAGAAAACGTTACCACAACAAACGTTTGGATGACGTCACAGTTGTCATGTGGGAACCAGCTTCTGATTGGCTGAGTGACTACCAGCTTTGTAAACACAGACTTAGCGAGGTGATAATGTTAGCTTACTGTTATGTTAGCGTGGCTTATGCGTGTTGTTATGTTAGTTGAGAGAGCCATGTTAATTAGCTTGTAAATTAAGGCGATATTGTTGATAAATATTTATTTTATGAGGTCAAATGAAGCTTTTTAGATGTCGTCTCCCCCAGTTAGGTGAAGGTAGCAGCAAGGCGTGTGACTCTTGCCATTGTTTATAAGTTAATTTATTAAGATTATAAATAAGGGTAATATTGTAGGTGTTAGTTTTGTTGCTGTGAGATAATGCATAAACAGTCTTCTTCTTCTTCTTCTTTTTCTTCTTTTTCTCCTCCTCTTCCTCCTCCTCTTGTCCTCTCTTCACCTTCCTCTCTCATCCCTTCTCCACCTTCCTTTCCTTCTTCCTCTCCAGCCTTACTCTCTCGTCCCTCCCTCTCATCCCTCTCCCCACCTTCCCTTCCCCAACTACCTCTCTCCCCTCCCTCTCAACTTACCTCTCACACCCCTCTACCTTTGCCTCCTCTTTCTCTCCGCTTATACCTGTCACCCCCCCTCTTTCCACCTTCCTCTCTCACCCTCTCTCCACCTTCTCTCTCTCACCCCTCTCCACCTCCCTCTCACCCCTCTCCACCCCTCCTCGTCTGCCTGGCTGCGACATGTACTCTCTCACCGCTAATAAGCTGTTCCCCACCTGCCAACACACACACACACACACACACACACACACACACACACACACACACAGGGGACCACAAGGCACAGCTCTTAAGAACCCGGCAAAAGCACTCGGGGATGAGCAGTGACTTACCTTGTAATTTTGATGAGTTTCCCCTCCCTCCTTCCTTCCCTCCTTCCTTCCCTCCTTCCTTCTCTCTCCTTCTCTCCCTCTGTCCCTCCTTCAGTTCCTTCTTCCCTGAGTCCTTTCTCTGTCTGTCTGTCTGTCTTGCGTATCATTGACACATTGACAGAAGCTAGAGGGAAGGAGGTAGGGAGGGAGGGAGGGAGACAGGGTGAGGAATGACAAAAGGATGGAGGGTGGGGAGAGAGGGAGAGAATGAGGGATGAAGTAAAGAGAATGGGATGGAAGGAGGGAGAGTAGAAGAGAGGGAGAGAGGGAGGGAAAAATAAAGAGGGGGGAAGAGGGAGTTAGGGAGAATGAAGGAGGAAGAATAACAGAAAGGGTCAGTTAAAAGAAGAAGCAAGAAGGAAGAAGAGGAAGAAAGAAGAAGAAGAAAGAAGGAAGAAGAGGAAGAAAGAAAAAGAAAGAAACAAGAAGAAAGAAGAAACAAGAAAGAGGAAAGAAGAAGAAGAAGAAAAAAGAAGAAGATCCTCCTCCTCCCTGTTTTTGTTTTCCTCTTTTTTACCTCCTCCAACAACACAGAATTACTCCCTCGTAAATTCCCATGAAAATTACTTACTCATCCTAATACTAACTCGGAAGAATTATCCAACCCGCCCTAATACTTACCTACAACATATGACTATTTTACCCACAAGACTCAAAACTCATCTCTCACCACGTAACAAATACTCATTCTGTACCTACTCGCCTCAGTGAAGTCATTTCTCTACCTACTCGCCTCAGTGAAGTCATTTCTCTACCTACTCGCCTCAGTGAAGTCATTTCTCTACCTACTCGCCTCAGTGAAGTCATTTCTCTACCTACTCGCCTCAGTGAAGTCATTTCTCTACCTACTCGCCTCAGTGAAGTCATTTCTCTACCTACTCGCCTCAGTAAACGCCGTCTCTGCCTGCTCGCCTCAGTGAACTCAGTCTTCATGTGTACTTTAGCTGACCCACATAATTACGAGACCATTTGGATTCCATTACACAGTATAGATGAATAGGTTTAGGTAAGTTATTAGTGTATGTCTTTTGTTTCTTTCTGTCGTCTATAAACTGAGGTATTATAGGTGTTACAGGTTGATTATAAAGCACTTGGATTCTATTACAGGTTATAAATGATCAGGTTCATGGTGTTTTAGATATGATTCTCTTTTGTTTTTTGTTCTTATCATTGTTTGGATTGATTGGTTTTGATACGATTCGCTCTTGTTTTTTGTTTAGATTTATTCTAAAGTTCTGTTGGTTGTATTATATTGTATAAGTGTGGTGTGTGTGTGTGTGTGTGTTAGGTGTACGTGTGTGTGTGTGTTTTAGGTGTATGTGCGTGTGTGTTTTAGGTGTACGTGTGTCTTTTAGGTGTACGTGTGTGTGTTTTAGGTGAACGTGTGTGTTTTAGGTTTATGTGTGTTTTAGGGTGTACATGCGTGTGTGTTTTAGGTGTACGTGTGTGTTTTAGGTGTACATGCGTGTGTGTTTTAGGTGTACGTGTGTGGTGTACGTGTGTGTTTTAGGTGTACGTGTGTGTTTTAGGTGTACGTGTGTATGTGTTTTAGGTGTACGTGTGTGGTGTACGTGTGTGTTTTAGATATACGTGCGTGTGTGTTAGGTATATTATTTATTCTCGTCTCTGCCGCCATTACAAGGTATAAAATAACCAGGTTAGTCGAGTACCAGTTATTTTTCTTATCACATCTAAAGCAAAACGATATTTTTTTTTTTTATGATCCTGTTATCGCGTGGGAACTAAAGACGCCTGTACCTGGGGTTGTACCTGGGGTTGTACCTGGGGTTGTACCTGTCCTTGTACCTATCCTTGTACCTGCCCTTGTATCTGTACCTGGGGTTGTACCTGTCCTTGTATGAAGCTTCAACAGCATCTTCCCCCTCATTCCTACGTGCTTACTACCGCCAATAATGTACCTGTAATTTAGATATCTCTTTACCTGTGATTATACCCGTACCTGTAACCAGTACCTGTAACCAGTACCTGTAACCCGTACCTGTAACCAGTCAACTAGTAGGCGTCCAAGTGCGTCTTCCTGAACTACTAAAATGAAAAGATCTGAAAATGACTCTGGTGATAATTATAATAACACCAATTATTATCGTGGTCAGATCCTGCAATATGTCTTCAGGTAAATTAGCGGTCAGTAGCGGTCGATATTAGGGGCTACCATCCAGAGCGGTCAGTAGCGGTCGATATTAGGGGCTACCATCCAGAGCGGTCAGTAGCGGTCGATATTAGGGGCTACCATCCAGAGCGGTCAGTAGCGGTCGATATTAGGGGCTACCATCCAGAGCGGTTAGTAGCGGTCCATATTAGGGGCTACCGTCCAGAGCCTCAAAGGAATACATACACACGATCAATCTTCCTCGTAAGTCAAGATGTAAGACTCTACCTAACTGGAAGACTCAAGTTAAAACACAAAAATAAACTTCTAAATGTGGTATCATAATTACACTGAGACTCTATCCTTAACGTATCTAGTTAAGGTAGAGTCTCGGTGTTAATTTTGTCTCCTAACTGGTGCTAAGTGAACGTATCTAGTTAAGGTAGAATCTCAGTGTTAATTTTGTCTCTAACTGGTGCTAAGTGACATGCATCAGGTAAGTCTCGGTGTTAATTTTGTCTCTAATAATTGCTAAGTAGACGTATCTAGTTAAGGTAGAGGTCAGTGTTAATAACCTAAGTAACGTATCTAGTTAAGGTAGAGTCTCGGTGTTAATTTTGTCTCCTAACTGGTGCTAAGTGAACGTATCTAGTTAAGGTAGAATCTCAGTGTTAATTTTGTCTCCTAACTGGTGCTAAGTGAACGTATCTAGTTAAGGTAGAGTCTCAGTTAAACTCCGTCATTTCTTCAGTCACCAGAAATACTCATCAACTAACCTAACCTAACCTAACCTAACCTAACCATTTGTGATGATGAGCCCAGGAGAAATCATTAACTCAGGCACTATGGTAACAAGTCAGTAAGGTCGAAATGAGGCGAAGAGACACTTAACATTTTCAGCCTTATCTAAATTGGACTTAGGGTTGATAAT